TAAATTTATTTTCACCAATTTTAAGATTACGAGTAGCATAAATTGATATATTGTCGAACTGAACTACATAGTACACATTTTGACATTTTAATTCTCTACTCAATTTTTTTCTAGATTAGTTATTTCCTTTAAGACGTAACAATCTTACTCATCCAAAAAAATAAATTCGATACCATTTTGTTTCCGAAGTGTGAGAAGATCCTATCATTTTATTAACTCTCGTTTTTCCATAATTTTAAATTATTACACCTATTGTTTTATTATAAATACGACAAAAATAATGAATAGAAATTCTATTAAATCTAATTTTCTTTTTAATTTATTTCATTACTTCAATAGGACTTGACTAGAAGTAGGTTACGACTAGTTACGACTAGTAGTGTTGTTGAAGTGTAGTTTATTTTTGGACACACAGGAAGAACGAATTATATTAACTAGTAAGATCAGCTTTCTTAAGGTGATTTTTATTAGTAAATTAGGTGACCTGAGCGGTACAAGTGCTCTGACACACGGACACTGTCTTTAACTAGAATTAAATATTAAAATATTTCATAATATAACCAAATTTTAGGTTCATTGAAGTATTTAATGTTTATTCTATAGGTAATACGAAGACGAAAAACATCTCAACATTCTATGAATTCTAGAAGTAATTCTATCGCCATATAACTATATATAAATACTATAAATATCAAAAAAAAAAAAATATGCTGATAGTTATAATTGGTATATTCAATTAATATAGTATAAGTTAGAAGAAGAGTTTGGCAGACCCTGGCTAAAGCTGGGAGGTTGCGAGGAAGAAGAAGAAGATAGAAAAAGAGTTTAAATTAATATATTAAATCTTATTTTAACGTAAAACACACATAAAATGTATTATTACTCGTCACAATATAAGGTTACGTCTGTCACACATATACCTGAGCGTGTTATGATCTAGTTATCTTTCAGACGGGCGACGGTAGAGGCGGTGTTTTGTCGTCACATGTGAAAACAGCCTAAGTTAAATAAAAAGTTCGCTATGAACATTTCAGCGACAGTTGCTTTCGCGTTTTGTTACAGTGCACATCAATTATAAAATATGTGGATTATTTTTGTGTTCTTTGTAGCTTCAGCGGCTGGTAAGCTATATTTATATTAATAAATAAAAACATTATTAAAATTAATTATTTTAATAATCATTTACAAATATAAAGAAAATATTTGGTACGATCGCTAAAGTATTCGCGGTTTTTTTTAAACAAGTGTTAAATAAATTTTTCTTTAAATATAAGTATTCTAATTTAAAATTTATATCTGAAATATCTGGATTGAAATATTAGAATATCATTTTTCATTATTGTTTACGTCTCAGGAAAAACTATAATAATTTCAACTTTCGTGACAATTTTATTTTAAAATATTTTTTGCTCGTTCAATATAAACACTTAACAAAATAAATATGCTACGAAAATATATCTTTTTTCTATAAACCGTAAATAGTTATTGATAAATAAATAAATATAAAAAAAATGATTATTACACAACAAACAAGCGAGATTTTTCATCTAACATGCTCTTTAAGTTATTTTTTCTTATTCCCGGCTGAATCAAATGTTATATTTTAATTTCCTTAGTAAATAAAGTGCAATGCGGTTCATGTATTCGGTTATAACAAACGTACATATACATATATTTGTTATATTATTTATTTATAATAGACTCGTGCTGGATCCATGCTTGCTTTGTTATATTCACACTGTGAACATGACATTGAATCCCATTCAACGGGCCTACATATTGTAATATATTATTGACAGGCGACACAAACACACACAGACATATATATATATATATATATATATATATATATATATATATATATATATATATATATATATATATATATATATATATATACGTGTGTATGTATATATATTGTTTATTTGAAAATTGTGATAAAGAATTTAATTATAATGATGACATTTCTCTTTTTCTTTTATTGTAATATTAATAATTAAAACAAATTTACAATTCGTCATGTTTTCATAGGTAACATGACATTTAGTGAATATTATTTTTCATTATAAATGAATAGAAACGAGTACTAATTAAGTACAAAACAATTAAATTATAAAACTTAAAATACAAATATAAACATTTCTAACACAATATCTATTGAGAAATATATTCCTAAAAAGAAAGTAATTCTAAAAGAAATCCTTTTTATTTCTGAACTGAATTGAAAGGGAAAATATAAAAGTGTATTTGAACGTTTTCAAACTGAAAAACTTGCTCCATTTAACTTTGAGAAACGAGGCTGAATCAACAAGCAGTGCCTACTTTTTTCTCGCTTGAAATTGTGTTAAACGGCTTTGAAAATACTGTTCCAAAGGTTTACAGCGTAGGCTTTAAAGCACTTTTTAGATTTTACAGCTTTATTTAATTTTATATATATAGTCAGTTTTCATTGACAATGTTTAGCAACCTTAAGTCACTTTTATTTTATTTGTTAACTTATAGCTTAGGAATAAATAAAGAGTTGAATTGAAGGAATAATAAATTAAAAATTAAGTATATTATTATAATATTGCTTTGAAAAACACTTATTTATAATATTCTAAACAAAGTCAAAATATAATCAAATATATTTCATACAATAATCATTTTATTATATCTTCTTTAGTAGATTTCGTAAAATTCTGATTTAGTTCAATGTCTTTATGTGTATCTGTCTATAGCATCATACCTCATAAACGGATGGATCGATATTGATGTTGTTTTTTTCACTTGAAAGTCAATATCCTAGCAGGTTCTAAACTAAATTTGGTTAATTTTACTTCACCAGAGTAAAAGAATTAGCTCTTTTCCAAAATTAAGTGAATTATTTTCACCTATGACTACTCAATTAAGCAACTTGTGCCAGCTTAGTATTTAACAAGAATTAACGCTCTAATTTATGAAAGAATTAATTAAACTTAGTTATTTTACATATATACATTGTTATATTTTTTATTTTTAACAAAAATTAACTTACTGTATTCCGGAAGATAGCCGTTATTTAGTTCTTTCTATTTCCACTTCTCGTTGTATTTATCGGCGCTACCAGCTTTAATAACGGATGCGACTTGAAAATAATTAGAGGCTGTCATCAGTTCTTATTAAACCTCATTAGTATTTATGATTATTGTTAAAAGTAAAACGAAATCAAAAGAGAATAGAATTATGTTTGAATCAAAAATATGACGTCTGGACTCACGACGGCGGACTCCAGAATTGAGAATTCAGCATTGATAATTCAGAGTTCAGTGAGTGTGTATCATTGAAGTAGGTTAATATGAAGAATCTTTGAGAAATACAGGAGTATTAAGAACAATTGCAGTTTCATTTTAAAATATCATCGAATGCTCTAGAAGAAGTGATATTTGTTACGTCAGCGAGGCTGGCGTCCCTTTCTTTAAAAACAACGAATCTGTATTAAATCTGATATATTATTTATTAAGCATAAATTATTCTAGCCAGCACTCGTGACAAATTTAAACTTGAACTAAATCCTGCTTTATTGTGGTAGTTTTATCAATGATAATTATTTTATATATTCAAATGTAATACTAATTTCGCCAAACCCAATTCCAGTGTTACTAAAAACGACCTAACAAACCCTATCCATAGATCAGATATAAGCGAAATTTTAAAAAAATATCAGCATTTAGAATAATACGACACATTCAATGAAGGTGACAATCCCGATTACCTTTTCTGTGATGTCTTCCTCGAGAATTAATAGTCTCATTAAAAGGATGATAGGAACACAAATTGTTTCTCATTTACAATACGAGATAAGATCTCAAAGTACATTATCATTTCCAATAATCTCTTTCCATCCGACTCTAGATAGTGTCATGATAGCCTATAATAAATAAACCATTGATCTGGAACAGTGGAAATATTATTTCATCTGTCTTATCAATATGATCATTAAGGAAACTATGTCTTAAATAATAAAAAAACAAAAAATATACGTACATTTTACAGGAATAAAAACATTAGTATTTTTGTCTAAAATATAGTTAAAAGATGACTTTTTCCTATTTTTTTTTATGTCAAAGGTGGCAAACGAGCAGACGGCCTACTTGATGGACAGTAGTGACCGTCGCCCATAGACATCCGCAACATAGATGTTCCGGATGCGTTGCCATTCTTGATTGTTGAGGAAAAGGGAGGGGTAGGAATAGGGAAATAGAAGGAAAGGGAGGGAATAGGGAAAAGGCAACCGGCTCACTCACTCATCGGTATTAAAGTTACGTGTGAAATAAATATTCACCAAAATATTACGCGTGGTTTTGTTTTTATAGATAATATTATTTAATATTTCAAAGACAAAGACTGATGTTATCTATAGTTAAACATTTTGTATGAGCTAAAAATTCCATTGAAAATTTATATTTACATAAATTTTATACTTCCTAAATAATAAACGTAGGTGATATTAACCAATCATGAACATCGCCCTATCCTGTTACTTCATTAATTGAATTGAACTAATCGGATAAATAGATCATTAATTGTATTTAACGGATTAATCGTACTTTATTTTCGTGTTCTATATAGTATAATTATTATATATTATAATAGAAATTTTAATATAACTTCCTAAAATGGATATAAACTCGTGCAATTTCGTAAGGTTTCTCATATTCATTTCCCAAAGGGGACTCCACACTCGATGTATTATAGAGTAAAGCGTTCGTACGATCTCCGCATTTACAAATTTTAACATAACAATTTTCTACACTATAATAGAATTTACCGGTTCTGTTTACTTATTTCTTTTGTTTCGTTACAGTTTCAACCGCATCTGAAGATTGGTCATACGACTGTGAGTGTATAATTCTTTGATAATAACTTGTTTTAATTACACTATGTAGTATGATATTAATTTTATATTATTATTTTATATAGATGAAACCAAATGGCCGGGAGTATGCACGACTGGAGAGAAGCAGTCTCCAATAAATATTATGTCAAGGGATGCTATAGTTGATAAACATGGGACCCACATCAAAGGACCGCTGGTTTTCAGGGGATATGGTAGCGTGAATGTTAGTGGTGCCAACACCGGACACACTTGTGAGTACCAAAACACAGAATTAAACAGAATCTTCTTTAATTCTATTCCTCTGTATAATCTTCTATATCTGTTCATCAGAGGTAAACACATAATGATCAAGAATGAAAAAGATATTACGATATGTACAGAAGTAAACAGAATCGTCTATCATTTTTATTCCTCTGTATAATCTTCTATATCTGTTCATCAGAAATAAATATACAAGGTTCTAAAATGATCAAGATTATGTGTTACTTCTCTGGTAGAAGTAGTTTCTGTCGTATAATTAAAATCCATAATTTCCATAGTATTCTATTAAATTAAATAATGTGCTGTTATCAACAAACAATTAGCTACACTAACGTTCTGACCTTGACTGGTTTGTTTCTTTTGATCAAATTATATATAAATTGTCGACATACAATTTATTTTAACCCATGCCTAATTTCAAAATGTATGACAAAAGAACAATTTCTTTCGTAGTAACCACGTTGATGTATAAACAATTCGTACGGTACTGTAGCAACAATTGGCTCGTTTTACGCCTAATACTTGACGAATAACTTTAAATTGATATAAATATTTGAGAAAAACATAATTTAAAAGTAAAAAACTATTCCAATGATGATGATTTTATTCCAATCAAATAATCTAATATTAAATTTCACTTCAACTAAATATTTTGTTACCATTTGACGTATTTTTTATCTTAATCAGTAAAATGGACGTTGGAAGAAGACGAGCCCAGCCCTATAGTATCTGGCGGTCCACTGAGAGGGAATTACAGCTTTGTACAGTTTCATCTGCACTGGTTATCAGAACACGCCATTGATGGAATGAAGTAAGTATAAAAGAACTTTATATACAGGGTGACTGGCGAATTACTATCAATATTTAAGGAGAATACTCGGTACATGATTCTCATTCGAATTATGTAAAAAAAAAGGGTACTTAATTTTTGACCAAATTTCCGTATAAATAAATAAAGTGTGTACACGTTCCAAGTGTTCCAAGTGTGGACGCGTGCGGCGGCGTGCTGATACAACAACACGCCGCCGCGCGCGAGTGTGTGTGTGTATACCTAATCTGTAGGGTGTTCATACGATGCGTAATTAATTACATAACTTTTGGTTAACTTTACTTAGAAGTTTATTAATATTTATGTTATATTAATTTTTATTGTGTCATATATGATCGTCATATATCACGTCCTCAAATATCGATAGTAATTCACCAGTCCCCTGTATATGTATATGAAAACATTGATACTGTTGGAAATAAGCTATCGAAACTATAATTCAAGAAGAGGATTTGAGCAGCGACTTTCGTGACATATCTTTATTTATTTTTATTTATTTATTTGAACGGCACATCGACAGTACATACATTAAGCACTTAGAACTAAACATTTAAAACTAAACACTAACTGATGTATGTACCAATTATGGATGTACACATCACTGCTAAAAATTACTGTCTAGCTTACAAAAATATAAAAAAACAAGTTAACAAAAGAAATAACAAAACTTTATAAACTAAATAACAAAACTATTACTTAAAAAATACAAATTAATAAGAAAGAATATCAAACAAAAATCAAAAAACAATCAAAATAAACCACTGCAGCTAACCACCACCACTACTACTACTTATACTAACAGGACATGACAAAACATCATAGATTTTCCGCTTGAACATCGGCAAGGAGTCGGAAAAAACATCAATATTTTGGGTTATTGAACACAGATCGTTATACTGGCCACATATTCTGTTTATAGGGGAAAATTTAGCTACATTTGTGCGTGACTTCGCTATGTAGAACAATTTATTGATAGGTTTTCTAGGAGGGCGACATGGGACTGAGATCTTAATTTTCTGGAGAGCCTGTTCACATTGGACAGTGCCATTCATAATTTTAAATAATAAAACTAAATCGAGAAGTTTTCTACGATTTCGCAAAGTTTCCATTTTAAAAAAATTTAGGCGACTGTCGTATGGCGCTCTATGGGATATTCCGCTGCATTCAAAAGCTAGATGTCTAGTGAAAGCACGTTGAATCGATTCAACTCTTTGAGAATTAACAGCGTATATAGGATTCCAGATCTGAGACGCGAACTCTAAAATTGTCCTAACAAGAGCATTGTACAGGTATAGCTTTGTTTCAATCGTAAATCCCTTTGTATTTCTCTTAATGAATCCAATCATTTGAGCTCCCTTGGCATTTATCATGTTAATGTGGGGCACAAAAGTTAATTTTTTATCAATGATAACACCTAAATCTTTAACCTCGGCTACTTGTTTAATTGATTGCCCACAAATTGTGTATGAAGAAGTAGTAGGGAGTTTTTGTTTTGAGAATTTTATATGAAAACATTTTGTTGGATTGAGTAGCATATTGTTACTATCACACCATTGCTGAATTCCAAGTAGATCACTTTGAAGTTGTGTGCTGTCAACAGATGATTTTATAGTTTTATATACTTTAAGGTCATCAGCAAATAGAGCAAAACGGCAATTATGTATGAAATATTTTATATCATCTATGTAAATTAGAAACAGCAATGGGCCTAGGTGTGATCCTTGGGGGACCCCAGTTTTTGCATAGTATGTAATAGATTCATAACCCTGTGCAGCAACCACTTGCGGGCGATTTAAAAGATATGATCGGAACCATTCCAAGAGTAAAGTGCCAAAGCCAATAGATTCTAACTTTTTCAGCAATGTAGGATGATGTACTTTATCAAAAGCGTGACTAAAATCGGTGTATATGGCATCCACCTGATGCCCACTATCCACTTCTTGTGCTATATCACTGACAAAACATAAGAGATTTGTTTGAACAGAATATCCTTTTCTAAAACCGTGCTGAAAAGGTGTTAAAAATTTGTAAACAAAACAGGATAATCTGGAATATATAAGCTTTTCAAAAATTTTAGAGAAGCTGGATAATATGGAAATTGGTCTGTAGTTTATGATGTTATCGGGTGCACCCTTTTTAAAAATAGGTATGATTCTAGCTTTTTTCCACAATTCAGGAAATATGCCGTCTGCCAAAGATCTATTAATAATTTTAGTAAGGGGCAATGATAATTGTGTTGCACATTTTTTAATGAAATAAGGAGAAATATTATCAGGGCCAGGTCCTTTTTTACTGTCTATGTCCCGCAATACCTTGCAGACTTCCACTTTATTAAATTTTAATTCACATATTTGTTCGTGATTACTAGCCGCACAATTTTGATTATTAATTATATTATCAGAATACACAGATGAGAAGTGATGCGCAAAAAGATTAGCAATTTCTGAACCAGCTTTCGCAGTAACGTCATTTAAATGCATAATTGCCGGCAATGATGATGAATTTGAACGCTTGTTTTTAAAGAAACGCCAAAATGTTTTACCATCTCTAGTAAGAGCCTCCTGAATCTTATGCTTATATATTTGGTGACATTCGTCATATAATCTATTGCAACGATCTCGTAGCAGCCGAAATTCATATTCATCTCTGGGATTGTTATACTTCCGATACCTTACACGAAGTTTGTACTTTTCGGACAAGAGCCTAATCAAGGCCTTTGTGTACCATGGAGGATAGTTTTTAGATTTAAATTTAATTTTTTTTGGTACATATTGTTCTATTATTTTGTTAAGTATATTATAAAATACAGACACCATCTCATTGACACAAACGCAAGAGAAAAACTCGGTTTCCCAATTTACTAGTTCAAGTTCCGTTGTAATTTTACTATAATCTGCCTTTAAAAAATTAGGAATTACGCACTCATTTGGTGGTAATATATGAAAATTCAGATCCTCAATAGTACACAAAAGATTTGGATGGTGAGCATCCAATTCACGCAACAAATCCAAAGCTTTAGTCACTTTTACATTAGGTAAATTACTAATTATCAATTCCAAAATATGGCCTCTATCATTAGTTACACCATTATACTGATATAAATTATTCATATTTAAGAAGTCTATAAATAATGTTTCTATGGCCCTATTGTTATTAGACGAACACATATATGAACCATAATTATTATTATTCCAGACTACAGAACTTAAGTTAAAATCTCCTAGAATAATAATATTGTCACAGTGTTGTTGAACATTTGTAGCCATATTCACAAATGCATTAATTGAATCAAGCTTAAGTGGAGGAGGAAAGTAGACAGCGCATATTACCAGCTTAATTGGTTTTTTATTTATAATTATATTGATAGTGACCCAGAGATCTTCACCGACGGTTTCCCAACTCGATATCCTACAGGACTGTATATCACGAGATACAGCTATCAACACTCCTCCTCCATCCTGTTTGGTAACTACGCAAGGGTTATTACAATCAGAACCATTACCATTGTGTACAATTAATCTATCCCTGCGATACACAGTATAGCGAGAATCAATAAATTCATTATCTTTGATACCTGAGTTTAGCCACGTCTCTGTAAATACAATAATATCATAGGAACACAACAAAATGTTTTTATAAATTTCGTTTGTTCGAGTACGAATACCTCGTGTGTTTTGATAGTACACTTTAATCGAAGAGAATTTGTACTTTGGTGATTCCAAGGAGCTTGTGCTATTCAAAATGAAATTTAATTAAGTTAAACAATAAGTCTTATGCTTTCAGTGTTCCGAATTAAAATGGCTTGACTTGATTCATTTTTACGGACGTAAATTCTACCATTACGAACCCACGTAAACCTGTAATTCAACTCTTTGGCCTTAATGCGAGCCGCCGCATGCAGTGACTTGTTGGCTGGAGTTAAATGCTCGCCCACGTATACTTGTGAACGAGCTCCGCCAAGTCCTAGTTGATGAGAATTAAGTTTGTCTTCGGGGTTTTTCTTGTTGAAGTTTTGGACGGCAGCTAGTAGAGTGTCGCGGTGGCGTGGAGTGCGTAGTCTGGCAATAACGGTTCGTGGTTTCTTATTTTCCTTATTGAATTTAGCAACGCGAGTAACTTGAACTATATCGTCATTCGAGAGATTGACGTTCACTGTCTTAGCTAACTGACCAAAAGTGTTGACAAGGTTTTCATTTCTATGTTCAGGAAGGCCGTTTATTTCGATATTACTCTCTCGCATAAATTGTTCCGCAAGGTTCAACCTAGTAGTTAAATCTTTAACTGTAGAATTCAAATGATCATTGTTCGATTCTAGCTTATGAATGGTGACTTCGCTGTCATCAAGACGCTTTTTTAGGTCTTCGTACTGTTCATTAAAAAAGGTAATAGCCTCTCTAAATCCACTTATTTCTTTGTTAATTTCCTTCAACCTTTCAGTTATCATATCGGATATATTTTTGGTTATGACCGTTGATAAATCTGATTTGAAACTCTCCAAGATGTCGCGAAGCGATTCTGCATTTATAACAGAATTGCTGGCTAAAACATCGTTTTGCAATTTGGTGCTATTACTTCGAATAGTAACATTATCGATATCTAAGGAAGTCCCGCAATCTTTTAATACACAATCAACCTGACTGTTTAGAGGAGGTCTAATAGGCGTGTTAGTGTTATTTATTTTTGGCATCTTGTTACGACATCCTTGGCACTTCCAGTTATTTTTGCTTTCATTAGATAGCGACTTGAATTTATTAGGCGAGATATTTGCACATAGGAGATCATAACTACGCTTGCAATGATGACAAATCATAAATTCTTTAACTGGTAATTTATTGTGACAGCCTGTACAGAAGTTTGGCATCTTAACTTATTGTAAATTGTAATAGTTGTAGATATCAAATTAAAAATTAAAAATCTTAATTTTCTTTTTATAATCCCGCTGGGGTTTGAACGATTCCTTAACGTCGCACCGTTGAATCGACTAACAGTACCACTGCGCTATCATACGAATACTTGACAGCGTGAAATTGTAGATAATGTTGTGAATTCCTGATCACTGAGTCAGAGTTTGTGGATATTCATTTATTATTGTATATTGCGTTAAATTGATGTACCCACTTATTTATTTATCATCCGTAACACTGTTAAAGTTTGATTATATGGTTTGTTTTTAAATAGATTCACACAAATTTAACACTATTTACTAGCACTGATGCGGTAACCAAAAAGTACATATATCACTTTTTCACTATTTCGACAGTTTAAAATATAGATTTTAGAATTAATAAAGCAGAGACAGCAAAACACGTCTTGCGCTTGTGACACTTGACAGGTGAAATATCTTATTGTAATTACAACCTTTAAACACTGAAAATTTCATTAAAGTAGACTTCACTCTTAAAGAGTAACCTATAATGAGAACCTTTGAATAATTCCATACTAATTCGTGACTGTACCATACTAAATTAGATAAATTCCTCAGATATCCGATGGAAATACATATGGTGCACATGAAGACTGGTCTAACCGCTGAAGAAGCAGTAGAAAGACCTGATGGCATCGTTGTTATCGGGATTCTTTGTCAGGTAATTAGTAAAAGTATTTACAACATAACTAGTTCGTTACATAAAAATAAATAACACGTCAACTTTAATCCTTTTATGACATAATGCATTTTAACTGATATATAAGTCTCATTACAAACGATTCAATAATCATTTTTATATTGAATATTTTTATTAAAACTAAGCATTTTCTCATTGTATTTAGACATATTTAGAAAAGAAAATGTATAACACAAATTAAAATTGTTAAATTGATGAAAAATGGACGTGGTGCATTATTTGCTTTACATTAAAATTCTAAAATCCCTTCAATCTTTCATTTGTGCATGATTCCATTCAACCTTCTTTAATTGTATGCATCAATTCAAGTAAATAAAATAGATTAGTATCTATCCATCCATCTACGTATCTATCCATACATCTATTTATCTTTCCATTTATCCATCCTGTGTTAATCTATCCATCTATCCACTTATCTGTCAAACAATTAATCTACGAGTATCTCTCTATCTACAAACTCAACTCTTCATGCCTACCATCGAATGCAAAATATATGGATGGACCAAAATAATACATTTTAATTAACGCACCACCTTTTTGCACCACATTAATCACGTCAGTCCTAATTTTTCTCATGATAACCTTATTATAATTTGTGTATGTCATCAGGTACACAGTGGCGAAGAAAGTGAATTTGCTTTGGGAGAAATACAGCCAGTTCTTCCTCAACTCATAGAGCGTAGTGTGGGCGCTGTACCGCCGACTGTGTTGGACCTCACGTATGTATTATTATATAAAAACCATATTTAAGCTTGGTTGGTTGTTTTGAATATGGCCTTCATCAGTGCAAAGACTTGCACAGTCATCCTAATAGTGCCGTGTAGAATGTAGGAGAAACGATCTGGGATTAACTTTTTTAAATACATATTTAAGCTTCATTCACTGATACTGAACAGTTAAATAATACGAGGTTTTTAGATAAAGTATTTGGTTGTAAAATCATTTATTCGGTTTATGTCAACAACCAACTCAGCAGTTATACTTATTTTAATAACCTGAACTATATTGATTAATAAATTTCCAACAGACGTCTCTTCAGCCCCAACATGCAATCTTTCTACACTTACCACGGCTCGCTGACCACGCCTCTCTGTCAGGAGGTGGTAACTTGGCTAGTTATGGACAAACCACTCATCATATCTGATACCCAGGTAAATAGCAAATTATTTTACATCTAAGATAAAACTGGGATTAATTTAAATGAAGAAATAATTCGTTTTCATTCAAAATCTAATAAGAATGTTTTTTCAGTACAAACTCTTCAGTAAAGTAGACGTCGGCGGCATTGACAATTACAGAAGTCTTCAAGCAAACAACAGAGTTATTTACCGCAGTATAGCTTCCAGTTCATCCATAGCTCTACCCAGCACTATTGGCCTGCTAGCTTCGTTATTCCACCTGTCTTCAGCTATGACAATGGTATTCAGTAAAGGCGTATGCACACTCGTTAATATCAAAAAGAAATTCTTTGGACAGAAAGTCAAGGAATGCAAATCTGATTAGGCTTAGTTGACACTAGTCATATCATTAGTGAGTAGAATTAGAGTGTTTGAAATTATAATTTTAGATGAAGTAGTGAGAAAGATCAGCTTTATAGGGCTTAAAGATAAATTGAATCTGTATAAGGATTCTCGTGGTCTGACCGACGTTTGTACGTTGTAAATTCGACTTTATTTTATATTACTTGTGTGTACAAGGCCTAGTCCATCTATCATATATGTATGTATATATTTTGTTTCATAGTTCGAACGTTATAAAATTAAAAGTGGAACTAATCAGAAAACAGAGATTTATAATCATAATTTTAATTTCTTTATTAAAATCAACCGATATTTGAAATAAATTATATAATTAAAAAGCCATTAGTCGATATACCATCATGCGGTATGATTTTATCAAAAATTATTTCCGAACTTATCAATTTGATAAAGAAGTTGCAACACTGAGAATTGCAGACGCTAAATGAATTATTAATATCATTATCCTCATTAAGTAAATATATAAGTATTGTGTCATAAACTAATTAATTATTTTCATAATTTTCTTACTTTTTGTGACAATCCGCATCAAGGTGAAGTTACTTCTTCCGACTCATTGTATTTATTTTTAATCTACTTGAACAGTTATTGGCATTATAAATAAGACTTAACGCAGTTTAATTGAAATAAAAAAAAAACATGAAACAAAATGTCGGGAATGGAATGTTCTTATCCATACACTCGCTCTTAAAAAATGTTTCAAAAATGTTAAAATTTTAAGCATTATATTGTGTTATTAATTGTATTTTGTTACTATTTAATAATTTAAATAATATTAGAAAACTAGTCAATAAAATGTATTTTATCATTATTAGCATCATTGTTCGTATTTGTAATTTATATAATTTTAAGTACATTTTTATATTTATAGATCTCAATCTATAAAGTAATTTTACTTTATAAATTATTTTGAATTTTATTTTTTTATAAGTGATAACAAATTATATGTTTTTGGTAGTAAGTTTAATTTTAATATGACAATATTTATGTTTAACAGAATATAAGTAAATAGTTATTTAAATAGAAGATTTACAAATATATATACTTTTATTTATAGGCTGTGAAATTATGAAAAACTTAGAAAGAAAGAGATTTTATTATATCCTGATAAATTTGTTATTAGGAATGCATTTCAACTTCTCTGTACTTTCCGTATTTGGTTGTGTTTTTGTGTTCCCTATTTTATTTTTTAAATAAATTATTATAATAAATATATACAACAATATTACTTATTGAATTATCATTTGTACCTTTAATTATTTAAATATGACTTAAATAATACATATATATTTGAATTTTGATGTCTTTTAAGTTATTAGAAGATAAATTAATTTCAATTTAAATTTTTTAAGATCCCAGGATTCTCGAATAAGAATAATGAACAGTAGAAGTAAGGTTGTGAAAATATGCTTCTAAAAATCATTTCTAACATAACAAATAGAGGTGGTATTACCTACTTCTTCCTGACAATTTCCCAGCTTTAGCCAGAGTCTGCCTTACTTTTGTGAATAGTTTTGGCTAATTGTTTTTACGACCGGCCGCCTGCCTGACATCAACCCTCTTTGAGAATGCTTTAATCAGTGATGTCTAAATATTCTTAGAAAGTACATATGACTCCGAAAAATCACGTAGGTATTTGCCCGGGCCAGGCTCGAACCCGCGCCCTCATGCATTAGAGGCGGCCCTTTTAACCACTGATTTAAAGAGGCGGTATTACCTGCCTGTGATTATATAAACGATAGAACAAAGATATAAATAAGTTAATGCCTTGTAATATTAAGTTACTACATTTAAAATAACTAACATTCGTTCAATATTAACTTAAAGTATATTAAATCATTGTCTGTCAGTAAGCACGCTACTTTATTCTGCTTATCTAGAAATTATCGACGAAAGCTAAATCTTCAAATTTAACTAAAACATATACTTATGTTACTTTTTGTAACTTAATATTTGTTCCGTATTTATATTGTGTTTATTGAAGTATACAAGAATACAAGTCTTTTTCATCATCAACATCGTCTACAGACTATCAGTCTTCTTAATAAAATTCTACTTTTTCCTTAACAGACTCTTTGCATTCTTTTAAATTTATATATATATTGTACGCATATTTATATAACTAGCTGCGCTCCGCGGCGTTACCCGCCGATTTCCGAGATGTAAAGTAGCCTATGTGTCATTCCTGGACGTCAGCTTCCTGGATACAAAATTTTATCAAAATCGGTTCAGCCGTTTGAGCGTGAAGAAGTAACAAACATACACAACACACTCACAAACTTTCGCAATTATAATATTAGTATGTACGCACTCCTGTATTTAGTATACAATAGTGACAAAGTGCTAGTTATATGTTTATCATATAATATCTTAACACGTTTGTTTGTTTCGTAACGTAGCTATCACGAAATTACACTTGGCATTGATGAGATCAACGTCATCACGATCTGATAGTAAAGAAAATATTGTTTCCATTTCAATTGGATAGATACATGAAGTACCTTGTTTTTATATAACCAGCTGACCCGGCAGACTTCGTACTGCCTCAATCAAGAAATCTCCGTGTTCTAAAGTGCGACAGAATGATTGACATATTAGTTAGTTGCCAAATCTAATGTCAAAAAACCCGTTTATATGGGAAATAGAAAAGCGCTGTTTTTAGGGTTTTCCCGGAATTTTTTTTTTTTTCAGCTTTTATACCTTCCCTGAACCTCCACGAACATTTCAAGACTAAGATAAGATAAATTCGTTCAGCTGTTCTCGAGTTTTAGCGAGACTAAGGAACAGCAATCCTTTTTTATATATATAGAAGATAGATATATATATATATATATATATATATATATATATATATATATATAGATTATATAATGAGATCTAAGACTTTTGTTATTTTTAATTATTTAATTAAACGAATATTTTTCAATTGTACTACGCGTGTTTTATTTTTGCAAAAAACGCGGACTTCTCGTCTGCTCGTGTACACGGTTGTTGAAAAGTAACCGAAAAGTCGGGAGTATGTCGTTTTTTACAAAAATAAACTGCGTAGTAAATCCGAAAAAATATTAATTTCATTTAAATCATTTTTATTGATAATGCAACAGAAAATACGAAATCGATTTAATATAACTATTACAAAATGCGGAGATAATAATTTGATAAAAAGTCATTATATATTAAACAGTACATAACACCTTTTTTTCTTTATTAGAGATCAAACAATGGGAATATTAGAACATTTTTATTCATCAATATTTGAACATTTTTTGTTCAGGATGCATTACCATTAATTTACTACTGTTTGTGAGTGTTGATGATTGTCTCTTTAAACTAAATTATATTATGGCTCTCAGGGGAAATTTTGAGAGAAACGTTATTAAAAATTACGGTATAATCTGCCCAGGTCGATATGTGACGCCATTAAATCGGTGGAAATCTGACGTAACATTTTCATGAACTTTCCTCATTGCACAGACCATGAGGAGTCATGATACACAGTCCTTGGCAATCCTCAGAATTCAAGGGAGAGAATTTTTTACCGCTTAGTGGCGTTAAATCTTTATATTATACTAGAAGACCCGGCGAACTTCGTTTCGCCCTATAATCAAGAAATATCGGTTACGTTTTTTTATTTATATTTTTGGAGTTTACCTATTAAAGCCATAAATCTCCGTGTTTTGAAGTGATTAGGAATGATTAATAGTTAATATGAGAGTTACACTGAGCTAGCAAAATAATAATTGTCAACGTTACTACTACACTAGATGCACAAACAATAACGATGGCCGACAACTGTGTAGGGAGTGAGAGAAGTCTAATTGTGTGAGAGAAACAGAAGACCGGCTTCGTTCTCATCCCTACTCCGTGCTGTTTACTGGGTCAGAAGTGACACCTGTAGATATCTGGCGGGGATAACTTATTAAATGACGATTGATCAGTTATCGACCGGAGATGAAAAATGATTAAATTACTAAAATAGCTATTAAAAAATAAGGGTTGATCGTAGAAGGGTGAAAATTTAGGATTGTATGTATTTTTGTACGTTGTATCATAAAAAAATAGTAATTAAAAATTTTGTCTAAAAAATAAAAAAAAAAATTTAGGGGTGGACTACCCCTAACATTTAGGGGGATGAAAAATAGATGTTGGCCGATTCTCATAGCTACCGAATAAGCACAAAAAATTTCATCAAAATCGGTCAGGTTGTTTCGGAGGAGTATGGGCACGAAAACTGTGACACGAGAATTTTAATATTAGATAAAAGAAAGTCGTGTTAGTTACACTGTTTATAACTCAAGAACGACTGTATGGGTTGGACTGAAATTGGGCAGAAAGATAACTAAAAATAAGTGAAAGGACATAGGGCACTTTCATCCGATAAAAAAATAAGTTGACCAAATCCAAAATCTTCTTATCTAATGTCTTTAAGGAGGAATAGAGTTCACCTAGTCGACTATACATTTCTAATCCTGGAATTAACGCAGACGAACTCGCGGCGACAAACTAGTTTAATATATAATTCGGTATCCGGAATTTCAGACTGGACATCAGAACCTATGATTTAAATAGTTGAAAAAGACTTCCTTGAAACATACTGCCCTCATTCTATGTATGTATAACTGCAAATTCAAAATATTCCCTTTGTCCTAAACTAAAATAACTTGGCTATTTTTAAAAATAAACTAATACAAGCAATTAAATGATTAAGCCTTACATTAAACAATATTTGTACACATAATTGTGATTCATTTATTTATAATACATTACTACTGTTCCCTACTTTATTAATTATTTTTATCTATGACGAATAATATCCTAAATACCGGTTTAAACTAGTTTCTTATAAAACAATGAATCTTTTATAAATATAGATAAAAAAAACTTTATCCAAATTGATACAACAAGTAATTTGGTGATTAATTATGGATTAAAATTAAAATTATAATCACGTGATCCTACTAATAT